AAGATTAGAATAAGTGAAAAAACTTTCATAAACTGAGCTTACAAGATGAATTGGAAGTCATAAAGAGGTCCAACTACGAACAAGCACTAGCCATCAATCGGTCTAACAAAGGGATAACGCTCTTACAAATTTTGGAAACACTAATTTAACCATTTTTTCACCAATAGCGNTTTGAAGGCATTTGTTTAGCTCTTGCGGGGAAATTTCCCCAAAAGGAGTTGTGAATTCTTTTTGTATTTAAAATCATTCCTTAAAAAAGATTATTAAATTTAGTTTTAAGCTTATTTATAAAGAAGCCAACTAAATAAAGTAACGCAAGACTTAATCTTAATTTGCATTTGTAAACAAAAAAACTTTTTCGCCGGTTTTATCGATAAATTCAAGTCAAAAAGACAAAGCTTCGTCACCTTCTTCGTGTATTTCGGGAACAGCTCGCTTGATTAGTTGTGAAATTTCTTTGTTTGTTACGGCAGCAAACCGGGAAGGCATTTTGCTCGAAACTTACGCGAGTTTGGTGTCGCTCGCTCGGAGGAACTGGAGGCGAATCAGTGAAAGGTGCAAGATATTCACTGATTGAGTAGCCAATCAGAGCGCGCGAAAACAACTATCCACTGTTTTAGTATATACTAAAAAGGGCTATGTACTCGACATTGAACCAGATGTACACGTACAACATCGAATACTTCTGCAAGATGACATTTGAGTCTGTTATGTGGTCATTAAACCTAAATTTCTATCAAACTATTACACGGCGGAAACTAAACCGCGCTCTCTGGGTACCTGTTGCTCGTCCTTAGAGTCCCGCGGTCTAAGAGAATTGTAGGTCTCTTTCGCAGAATAAGGAGAAATGCACTCACCTCATGTCACGATTTCTAAATACAATGGCACAAATAAGAAGGTTTCCAACGATGGTGGTCATTAGAAATATGGACGTTAATGTTGTTATGACAACATCAGCTGGGTTAGACATACTGTAAATGAAGGATGCCTTGGCTGAACCTGTAATACGATGGAAAAACATAAGATTAGAATAAGTGAAAAAACTTTCATAAACTGAGCTTACAAGATGAATTGGAAGTCATAAAGAGGTCCAACTACGAACAAGCACTAGCCATCAATCGGTCTAACAAAGGGATAACGCTCTTACAAATTTTGGAAACACTTATTTAACCATTTTTTCACCAATAGCGTAGCCCAACCATTCAACATCCTGTGTACAACACAATCCTTTGATTCGCTCCAAACAAGGACCAAGGCTCCAAGGCTGTTTTATTCATCTTCACGCACCCGTTCTGTTATGCGTCCATTTTCAAGGGTCTTTCGAATGCAGTTTATCTAAATGATCTTACATTTAACAATTACTCCTCGAGCCCGAATATGCTCTGAGTCAGGCCGAAGGCCGAATGAGCTATTGACGCAGAGGCCATGAGGGCGAGAGGAATAATTTTTTTAGTAAAATCCAACTGGTTGATCAAAAATATTGAGACAAAACAAGTTTAGCTAGCAAAACGCGATTAGTGGGCTATAACATATAGCCTAGTGGTAACTCGACCAATCAGAACACAGCATTGATGATAGACCACTAGCTGGATTTTACTAATGACTGATAGCACTTGCTTGTGCAGGTTCTCATTTTTTATCTGGCAGATGTTTAAGTTGTTGTTGCTAGCAAAATAGCCTAATAGGAATTTGGTGTGCATATGACATTTGAAGTAAAGTGGAACAACTAGTAGTATGTTGGCGAGGAAGTTCGTATTGAAACCGTAAGGGCTGGGCTTATTAAATATAATAAATAAGCGGCGAAATTATGTTCAAATATAAGTTAGGATAAAAAGCAAGCAACACAAAACACGCTAAACGGACAAAAAGTAGCAAAAATATTTACAGGTGGGGAATCAGCCAAAGAGAAATGCTTTCAATCTAGATTTAAAATATAGATAGCTCTCCGGTTTAGCTCTCCATCGACATCTGTAGGATCTTCTAATGTTAGGATGTCAAGAAATTTTTTATTCTCCTTTAAGTGCATTTGTCGAAAGATTTTACAGTGTGTTATAAGCATCTCGTTCCATATTTTTCCTCCAGCTCTAGTGAATGAATTTAATAAGTGGACTTTAAGGGTAAGAGATTTTGGTGGGAAATTCGTTGGAAGCAGATGATCAGTCGTGTAGACTAAGAGTGAATATCCGAAATGTCTTAAAAAGATCTTGCATACTATAAAGCCATGTGTATTTCTGGGTCTAATGTCATAGTTGACTGTTAGTTCACACCAGGGAAATTGTGAGGTACAACACCGGCCTTGGCCAATAGAGGATTGCAACTTGATTCAGTACGGTTAGTGGAAACAGATAAATTGGAGAGCTCGTGTTACATGCTTCGCCCAAACTTTCAAGCCACCGGTTAAAGAAAGGTGCGATAAGAGATCGGTAAATATTCATAATAGTGTGTGTTGGTGGCGGGAAAATGGTCAAACGAGTAAGCATTCCTCATTCATTGTTTGCCGATTGTCCGTCAGATTGCTAGTAGCTTTTGGCAAGTGGTTACATTATTTTAAAGCATTCAAGGAGAATAAGACTCCGCTAAACATACCCCTTTAGAAATGCTTCCTCTCTATCCAGGTTTGCAGGACTGATATAATTATTCAAAGAAATCTAAATAGTTATTATCGTTCTCTTATTTTCAGCAGCTGCAAAGACTAGCGTATAAAATACCTGAAAAATGGCTTCCGGAATTCCAATTCCGCGCTCTTTCCTCTGTTTGCTCTGGTGGAAGAAGTCAAGAACTATTTAAGAAAATGAGATGTTGAAAATCTAACAGTATGATGTATACATTTTACTGAACAGCTGTTTCCAGCGTTATAGGTTTGTTTAATTTTGCATTGGTGTGTTTTGTTTAAATCGCCGCAAGTAGCTATTGGAAAACATCCAACGTAATTACTAACTGCAATTAGCCGGTTCAGTGAGATAAGTATTGAACCAGCCAGCTGAAATTAAACCCTTTAAAAAGATCATGCATTCAAAATAATACACAATTCTAGATTTTCGCCAATCGTTTCAGTAAAGATTGGCCAAAAAAAAAACCGTTCGCTGACAAAAATCATGGTTTTGAGCGCTCAGCTTCAACATTCTGTTCTAAGAAATGTCTTAAATGTGAAGACCCATTTCTAGGTCAGACACCCTAATGTCATAGTTTCGTTGTATTTCGTTTTTACAACTTTATTGAAAACAAACACATGCTTGACATTTACAAAAACCAATATGCTGCAGAACTAAAACTACAGTACAAAGAAAATACTGACAGAAAAACCANCCAAAAAAAAAACCGTTCGCTGACAAAAATCATGGTTTTGAGCGCTCAGCTTCAACATTCTGTTCTAAGAAATGTCTTAAATGTGAAGACCCATTTCTAGGTCAGACACCCTAATGTCATAGTTTCGTTGTATTTCGTTTTTACAACTTTATTGAAAACAAACACATGCTTGACATTTACAAAAACCAATATGCTGCAGAACTAAAACTACAGTACAAAGAAAATACTGACAGAAAAACCAATATGCTACAGAAACGCTAACTAAAATAACAGAGCAAATACTGAAAGAACTACAGTTCCGTTGTATTTCTACTATGGGGAAAAACGTTAAACCCCACCCAAAGGGCCTGGAAACGCAAGTACAGCCTAATCGCGTGTAAGCAAATTTGGGAGCCTGTGTCGCGAGATTTTTGCTGGAAAGGACCTGTATCATAAACGGACGGACACAAAACACTGAAAGAGAGAAAACTGTTGGCTTCCACCATTTACTCACGACTTTCTTTCTTCTTTTCGGTCAGGATGTGACCATTATCAACAACTGAAACAAAATAAAACACTGATACTAACCTGACATCAGGCCCAATTTTAGCAGCCTCCATACATTCTCTCTTACGTAGTCGTTTTTCCCGCCAGAATTTTATTTAAAAAGCGAAACGTAAATAGAGCCTGATCTCAGGTTATATCGATGTTAATTTATTATGTTTTCATTGTTGCTCGTTAAAATGAAGGTTATTAATTCTTGTAATTACTACCTCAGTTTCGGATTATTGAACGATCCCTTAAATGCCACCTGTTTTAAAAGAATTAAAAGAGAAGATTTCAGTCGATATTGATAACTTAAGAACATTTTTAAACGCTATGATTTCAAGCGATCCTTTATTTCAAGGTTTTACATTTATCTCGTGGCTTATATTTGTCCACTCGAAACAGACGAGCAAATAGAAAAGCGCAAAACAAAACAAAAATACTTATAATGAAAAAAAAAAGCAGTGGAACACTGATCATTTCACCTCTCAGCAGAAATTTCAGGCATCGTAAACTAGCTTTTCAAGAAGCCGAAAACATGGCCTACGTGCGTAGGACCCGTCTGCAAGCAGACAACCAAAAACACTGCAGCTAACCAATATCCGCTCATCCTTACATGTTTTGTTGACAACATAGCCCTGTCCTTCAGATGTTTTATCCTTCATTTTTTTCTTTTAACAAGCACGCGAGTTGCGCGGCCGCCATCTATTTCTCATCTACCCACCCTCTAAACGGAAAAGGGGAGATTTATTGTCACACGCCATCATGCGCGCTCGACGATGACTGTCCACAGTACCCTTTAATTTTTTCGTCAGAGATTTCAGAGTGTGTGCATCGGTCATCGACCAAAAGATATAATCCTTAGCAATTATTCACCGAAGTGGAGGTGAATGTGCTGAATATTCGCGGCGAGGCCCATTTCACAAAATGGAGAGATTAAGATTCACTTTGACGCCAAACGGCAGACGTGAATTTGTACCACGTGACCAAGTCTTCCCTTATTTTCCGTTAACTCTTTATTGCTTCTACACAATAAAATAAGTAGTTTTATGCCACTTTTAATCATAGGAATCGTTCGGGACTGGTTTATGGTTTTATCTGCTTATTTTCTATTCTGAGAAATTCTCAACTGAGTCTGGCGTTTGCCGTTTGCGGTGAACGTGAATCTT